CAAGTAAATTTAATTTCATTAATAAATCAATATAAATATGCGATTAAAAGAAATTAATCCATTTTAAATATATTATTATCATTTTTTTTTTTTTAAAAAATAAAAAAAGTTATTCCGAAAAACTTTTTAATAAAATTTATGATTATCACTCTAAAAACTCTGGAAATTATAATAATGCCTTAGATATTGCTACAGGAACTGGTCAAATTGCCAATATTCTATCATCTAAATTTTCTAATGTTTATGCTACTGATATCTCGGAAACTATGCTTTCTAATGCACTTCGTGCTTCAAATATTAATTACTCAATATCTACTGCAGAAGATCTTTCCCGATTTCCTTCTTCAAAATTTGATATGCTTACAGTTGGACAATCCGCACATTGGTTCAAACTTCAAGAATTTTTTGAAGCAGCAAATAGAGTATTAATTCCAAATGGTACTCTGGCTATTTTTGGTTACACTTTTCATGTGATTAAAGGTTATAATGAGATTTCGGAGATGTTGATAAAGTTTGGTACTGAAGAAGAGATTAGTAAATATTGGGATGAACGAAGAATTATTATAAATGATTTGTATAGATCATTTGTATTACCTGAACAGTTTAAGAATGTTGAAATAATTAGAAATGAAAAAATTAATGGTGGTGAAATTAGTGGTGAAATTTTTATGGAAGAATATTGGAGTATTGACCAAATGGCGAATTATATGAAGGTAAACTTTATTAATTATTTACTGGTTATTAATTATGATATTATAATTATTAATTATTATTTTTTTTTCCATTTATTACTTTATAATTTATTTATTTTAATTTATTCAATTTATTAATTATTACTTATTATTTAAAGACCTGGTCTTCTTATAAAGATTATATGGTCAAAAATAAAGACACGATTCAACAGGATCCAGTTGATAAATTAATGAATAAAATTAAACTAACAATAGGATTAAAACCTGGTCAGAAATTGCATATTATTTGGCCGATGGTTTTAATTTTGGCTACTAAAACGGGTTAAAGAACAGAAATTTCATTAATTTAATCAATTAGTTGTATCTGTCATTTGTTATATGTTATATAGGATATTCGTGATATTCATTATTTTTAAATTATTTAATTAATTTCATGTATTTATCTAATTAAATTTTATCATTCGAGATGTTTGAGATCTTTTTATCACATGATTAACGTCTCATTAACAGTTATGGAGAAAATTAGTGTAACAAAAATTAACAAAAAATTAATAAAAAAATTAATCATTGGTTCGCTTTTATGCTCCTTAATTAATATTTGTTATACTATATTGATATAATATTAGATAATAATGTGTTTGCAAATTTATTTTCTCGACTGGCAGTTTTTGTTTATTTTCTTTCTTTTCATCCTACATTATCGTGATTATATGTGATTATATTAATCACTTACCTTCATTTTATTCCTAAACATTCATTTTATTCTTAATCCTTCCCTTCAACCTACATTTTCACCTTATCATTCATTAAATTCTCTATTCTTTCATTACATTCATTACTTCATTACCGTTATTATTTTACCTCATTTTTCCCACTTTTCTTTCCCACCTTTCTTTCCCGCCTTTCTATCCTTCTTTCTTTTTCTCTCTCCATTATTTCATTATTTTCATTTCCTGAAATTATTCTCGAAATAATTATAACAATAGAATTGTTATTTATATTTTTATTTTAACATGTTTTATTTTTATTATTTTATAATAGAATAATTGATAGATAAATTTATTTTAATCCTTAAATAGACCATTAAGAATTTCGAAAGAAATAAGCACGAATTCAAATAATTAATTACATATAATTATAATATTTTCAGACATAGAATATATAGAAATATACATATATATATATATATAAATATACATAATGAATGAGGAGGGTAATAATACGGGATTTTTTTCACCATTATTTAGTGGTAATAAAAATAGACAATCAATGCAACCATTTTCAACGGTTTCAACGGTTTCATCAGCTGTTGAAACATCAGAAGAACGAGATAGTGCAAGATTTAATACTCGTTCTTCATCACCTATTTCAATGTATTCTAATAGACAATCATTTGATTCATATGTAGAAAATGAAAATGAAAATGAAAGGGATTATGATGATAAATATAAATATAATAGTAATAGTACATTTGTAAACGAAGAAGGAATAATTCATTCAAATTCAAATAATATAACGAAAGAACAAGATTTATATCATTCAAGTTCACTAAAAACCAATGATAATATTTATTCGGTAGAATTTTCACCCACTGATAATTATTTCAATAATAATAATCAAGCTCAATCCACTTCAATTTTTACAACGAATACTCCAATTATGAGTGTTGGTGGTGGTGGTGCTAATAATCTAATATATTCTAACATTAATAATTATAATCCTCCAGCCACACCATCAACAATTTTTTCCATTAATGATAGTAATGATAGTAATCATAATAGTGGAATGGACAATTATTCAATGAAAATGAATGATAAAACTTGTAATATAGAAATACGACCTGATATTAATATTAGAAATTATAATAGTGGTGGTGGTGATGATTTTTGGAAGAATTTATGGAAAATGGAGTATAGTCATGTGGGATAAATAGATAAATATTGGGTTTTCTAAAAAAAGTTATTTTTATTTTTATTTCTTTCTCAATTATTCTTCATTATTAATGTCATGTCATCATCTTCGAAGAAACAAAAAAAACAACAAAACAAAGCATTTTATAAATATTTAGATAATGATCGAATATATTCTTGTTCTAAATGTCACACACATTTGGCCAAACACGAAGAGTTGATTTCAAAAGTATTAAGTATTTATAATATATTATAAATATTATTATACTACAATAATATAATATTATTTAATATGATATAATGAAATATTATATTATATTATATAATAAATATTATATTTGTATTTATACTCTTTGTGCACATTTATGCACTTTAATTTATATATTGTATTTGTTGCTTGTAGGCATTTCAAGGTCGATTAGGAAGAGCATTCTTATTTAATTCCATGTAAATATTTCAGGCAAGAAATGAATTATTGGAATTTTATTAAATTATCCATTATTTATTTATTACTACCAAATTAAAATTCAATTTTGCAAAAGAGAAAACGTAATCCTGGGAAAAAA